TTGTAATAGGTGGTTTTAGACCCCTGCACAGTGGGCATCCAGGCGGACATTAGACGGAAAACTAAAGTCGCTCTTTTTCCAAATATGACTAGTGCAAAATGTAGCTCTTTCAATTCTCTATCGAATGGTGTATGGATGTCCGTTTCGATGTCGACTCGTTCGAGGAGAAAAAAGGACTCGAAAATGCATGGTGAAAGCCCAAAATAGCGACATGTATACACTAAAACACGATTATCTTTGTCCACATGAATGTTTTATTCTTGGAAAGCACATATTTGGGATCAGTAGACGCTCAGCTATCTATCGATATAAATAGAAAGGTATTTCGAAATAGTTTTCCTTATAAATACCACATAAACTTCTCATAACATCTGGTTGACATGAGACCACCTCGGTATAGTTACAACGCACTAAGTAGCACCACTTAAAACTGACATCTAAACACATCAAAATGTTCCTCAGACTCTACTGTATATATGCTGATCAAAAATGAAATACCCTTTTATGGCAAATCGAAAAACTCGGGACAATAAAAGATAGAGACCTGGAGTTTTCACCAATCGACGGAGGACAGATTGTCCTATGTTCTCATAAGCAAGACCGACTCTCGGAAAAATTGCTAAATCTCATTTTTTAGTGGATCTCTGAAAAACCAGTTTATGACTAAAACGTTTTACATAGTAATCTATCGACTGTTTTTCAGAGATAGATAGTCCAAAGTGTCCTCTACAAAATAAGACCAAAGCAAAGGTTTCCTTTTGCTTGATGCGAGCGTTGGACGTTCTTCTGGAAACCATGGAACTTCTCTAATCTTCGGTCTGGGAACTTCAGACATGTATGAAAAGGTAGGTTATCGACCACGCTGAACCTCGTGGCAAGGCTACTTTCAAGAAAAATACAAGGTCCGAGTGAAAACCTATACTAGGTGAAAATATTTTCATCAAAAGCTAAAAAATTCATCAAGCTACTTCAGAATACCAAGATATACGCTATTTTAACCCCTCTATCTGATTCTGTGTTTAAGATCAATAAAAAATACTCTCCTAGTTCCAAAATCAAAGTATTTTCTCTTGGTTTTTACAGTATTTTAGCCGCACTATACGATACAGCTCAATAAAACTTGATAATCAATAAAGTAGATATAATTTCGACACACACATATAAGTTCATTCTTCACTGAAGAAGAACATGAAAACATGCGCTCTTTTCACAAAAACGTATCTGGTTCGATTCGCCATGGTCCTCTGAGTATTTCTGTATAAAATTAAGAAGGTTTTGTTTAAGTTGATAAGCGTAAAAAACTTTTTGAACGACATGTATTTGTATGGAGTCATTTGAAAACTTTTTGCAAAAAAGTCACTGAATCGCTATCTGATTTTCTCAGATTTTGGTAGCCGCAAAATTTTTGCACTTCCTCTGCTCTGTGGTGTTCGCGACGGCGTAGTCATTTTATGAATTAATTTCTCAAGTACCGATTCTATCCTGTCAGGTAACGTCAGGATCACGATCAAGGGTACTAGCCCCTTCTTGGAATTTTGGACTTTCCATGAAAATTTCTGACATGACTTTCCCCCACTGAAAATGTGCCGCTGGCGAAAAAGCTTCATGGAGAATTTTTGTATTAATTTTATTGTAATCATACACAATCAGTCGCCTTCCTACCTAAGAAGCCTAATCACGTTAAAAAGAGACACAAATACCAGACAGACGCGTCACTATATACCAATAGATATAGTTCCTCCAATATCCAACATATCTTTTGTGGATAGTCAGCACTGGTGAGCGTTGTACATGATTGGAACAAACTGTCCTATGAAATGCGATCCATCACAGATAATGAGACCTTCTATGTAAAACTAAAAAATTTCCTAAATTTTCCACCTCAGCCACCAGTTTGGTACAATATAAGAAGTTGGATAAATATCATCCATCTGACCCACATACGCTTAGGCTTCAGCTTTCTATTAGCAGACCAATATAAACGTCACTTCGTTGCGACACCATATTGTACTCATTGTAATGAGACCGAATTTTAAAATGCCTTCACTTCGTCCACGAAAGACCTATATTGTTGAATAATATAAAATTGATTACTGCATTACTACAAACTACTGAACTCATTCTAAAAGGATCATTAAATCTTATCCCAGAACAAAACATCCTTATCGTAAACAATGTCCATAAATACATAGCTGACACTAAAAGATTCACTTAAATTTTACTTCTTGTGCTACTCTATTTGTTGTTACATCTGATATGTAGAGAGGAAAATTTTTTTGTATCTTACAATCCTCGATAAATAAATAAATTAATGTATCTAATCTACATCTGAGAACTCCTACAAATTTGACTTGAAATTTGGGCGTTCCTGATTACACCATGTTTTAGTTGGACTTTTCTTCGAGTGCATGACGTAATCGAGAAAAATTGAACTTCACACCACGTTACAAACTAAGTGTTTACGAAAAACACCTCGGAATGGGCTCGCGGAGCTATTGTTCAAAGTTGATCTATTTTCTGACAGATATGAGGTCCGAAGGGGAACCAACGATGTAGAATCCCATAAAATTGTATGCTCTTTTATTCTAGATACCTTTCGAGAAGATCTGAAATGGGGCCGATCCTCGTTCTTATTGCACCCCGTCCTTTACCTACTATAAAACCCTCAAAAACCATCGTAAAACCAATAAATCATAGTGCATTCGACAGCAGATATATTGGGCTATACACAAGGGGGGGAAAGCGGACTCCTATGGGCTCCTGGACTCCCATGGACTCCTGAAGTCCAGGAGTCCACAGGAGTCCAGGAGTCCGCTTTTTTCCTCTTGGCTATACAACTATGCATAAATGTCCAAATCGATTTTTTTCATAAACCAGTGATTTTTTATGGTTTTTCCGTGGGAATAACGCTTACATATGGGAAAAAGTAGGTCGCACATATCTCTACATGTGCTCATTCGATTCGCCATAGCCGATAACCTACGACGAACTGCTCTCAGTTTTTTCCCTGTACCACTTTCCAAAAAAAAACGCGATAATCAAAGGAGAAACTTGTTTTGCGTTTTTCTCGAAACTGTTTTTTTTTTTGTTTTACCTGATTGTGCGTCAAAGATTTCTCCTAGGAACTCTCGCAAAACTCAATATTTTGAGCTCAATTTTTTACTGAAAACTATCCAAGGTCAGATACATATTCAGTAAAAATTTCACTAAGATTGAGTGCTCTGGAAAAAAAATAGATTTTTGACGGGGGAAGCTAGCATGTCAAACATGCGGATCATCTTCTGTACACGATTTTGTAGAGAAATACATGGTGAATCTTTTCGTAAAAGAATGAGCGGTCTATAATCTAAGAGAGAAGAAAAAAACAAAACTACATGCAGTGCAGTTTCTTCTGTTACACTTGGTGCGCTAACAGAAATGTTTCTATTTCAGCCATAATAGAAAAACAACCTTTTTTTGCTGACATCAACAGTTCGGTGTCTAAATAATTATCACATTCATGGCGTTCGATCGTTTCTTGCAGTGAAAGAGAGGGAAAAAAATACCTCCATAAACTTACCGACAGTTACCGACTTACAGACCGCATATTTTCAGTGCTAAAGCATCCCAACCCCTCATAAGCCTTTATGTCACATTTAAACAGTTCTCAGTCTCATCTCGAAACTAGTCAGAAATGATCAAACTGGGCAAAAAGTTACCAGACTTGCTAGGAGTAGCACTTTACTAAGTAACGTAATAAGTAAATAAAAGAAAAGTTTAACAATTTTTCAATTCTTCAGATTTCTTATTTTCCAAATACTTTGTGATGTATGCGATCTGTTCGACAAGTTCTAAGGGATTGGTACATGTCTATTTCTAACTAGTTAAGTGCGATTCACTTAGCATCGAGAACGCCAAAGTCTGATTTCGATTTTCTTCAGTGAGAATGCAGCTGCAGAGTTTCATTTATAGTTCGATCCATCGTGTCCTAATCTTTTTGAATACTTTTGAATACTTTTTGTAGTAGATACTAAAAATGAGATATTATTTCATCGAGATCAATTGTATAAATGGTGCAGGTGAAATGTATGAAATTGTTGCTAAATAATTTGTCTAGATTCAAAAATACAGTAGTGTCTGTAATATCTAAAAGAATAAGAATTTATTAAGAAACATAATTTTCAGCATCGATTTATATTTTTACTCTAGCCAGTAGAATATGAAAGATTTTACCTGTGAATAAAATTTTTCATAGAATGACTGGACTTTCTAAAGAAGTCCTTGTTCGTCACGAATATTGTCTGGAAAATATCCGTGCAATGAAATTTGGATAAACTTGTCTTCTTTACGAAATCGGTCTTTTTATTTGAAATATAAAATTGTTGAAGATGTCGGATCTTCTTAGCATTGTAACGCACACTAACTGAAGATTGTACAATTGAAAATCAATACATAGCAACCGTACTTAAAACAACCAGATCATCATTTTAAAGTAGAATAGCTGGTGCTGAACCTTATCGTTGTCGATCAAGTTCAATAAAACGTGTTAATTGTAAACAGCAACATTCCAACAGTTCCATATAATACTCTTTTAGTATCGATTTGTAATTTTCTATAACTTTGCATAATTTGCTTTTTTCGCTTATTTCTGCATCTAGCTGTTTATTTATAGCAGAGTTAAATTCTTTATAAAGTAAATAAAACAAGTTTCAAAAATGGAAAATAAATATAGAATTAATAAATTTAAACAAATTCAATCTATTTTTCACTGTTCTTCCGTTTATATATTCACTGGTCCCAATATTTTGTCCATATTATTTAAAATTAAAGACGATTGCAGTTTATTACGTCCTTGCTCCCTTGTATTTAAGCAAAAACTCGTAGAAGATAATCGACTGAAGTCTAAAAAATTCAAAAGAATCTTTTGAAGACAAAATGAATGGATTTATCTAACAGCTCTTTGTTTTAATCAAACATTTGGTCTCTTGTGAAACACGAAACTCACTGAACACAAATAGTGCTTACCTCAAATATATCGGAGTATTCTGATGTATTGATGCATAATTGAGAATATCATAACTCATATTGATTCCATTTGGAAGAAGCAATTCAACAGATTTTATGAAAGATGCCATAGCAAGTACACTACTAGAGAAATTGATACATCGTGCATCTAAACAGGCATAAAAACCATAAGAAAATAAGCTTCATATAAATGAATGGCTTACCTGTAACAGCTTGCACAATAAGTTTGCTGGATATTTGTCTTAATGAATTTTTTGTTTCATTTTCTACATCTAACATGGTTAATATTGCTTCTAAATAAGTAACTGGTGTTGTAATATTTAGATCCCAATCAATAGTATTACATATTAATGTTTCAGCGTTCTAAAAATAAATCAATAGTCGTAAATCAGAGTTTTTAGATTAAAACTTAAAGTTGGATTTACCATCAAAGCTTCGTAAGTGATACAATGTTTTATATATTTTTCAACTGTATTTAGAAAATTTGTATATTCGGATAATTTCACAGCAATTGTCATGCATCCGTATAAAATATCATCATTCATGTTCAAATAACTTGATAAATATCTCATGAGAATGTAATAAGCTTTGATATAGATCTCATCTGATAATCCACAATCGTCGATGATCTAAAAATATAAAAGTAAAATGTCACATGATTCATCGGGAAAACTCTGACATATTTAATCGTATATAAGCACTTGGGATGTTCAACAGAAAGTTCAACTTCTTTGCGACAAACTTTAATCTCGAGAATTCATTATACAAAGTGTTTCTCGCTCGTTACGCAGATATAAGAGAGATTTTAGATTTAGTGTACCTAAACCACATGTACATACCCTTTTCAACTGTTTTGAATGATGAATTTTTGTCTTTGGTGATGTAGAATAGATCGCACATTGTTCATGATTGTCTCTGCGTATTAGGTTGATTAAAATATTATCATCAAACGGTTGTTCAGCAGCATTCACCAATTCAAAATCAGAATCATCGGTATAATAGCCCGATGTTATACAGAGTTCTTCGTCATAACAAGACAGAGTAGCCACATCCATTGTAGAACGTCGTTTTCAGTAAATGATTAATTCTATATGCTCAGTTATTGAGTATTTATATATTTTTTTTCTTCGTGAGTATGAACAATTTTTTTTTCTTTTTTTTTCTTTCATTGGTTCTATATATGTATTTGATGTGACGTGATATTCAAATGTTCTGTTCTGTTTTCTTGATTGAACAACGTGTATTGTATATGCGCGGTATTCTTTTGCTTGCCCTCCTATATTGAGACCAGCTGACGTTAAAATTATGAGGTGTTGGACTTAGTTTTATTTGATGTCATCAAACAAGTGCCGACTCGAAACGCCTCAAGGCATTCAAGTTTGAGATTATAGGATGACACGCGTGATCATTTATAAAAGTCATCAGATCATATGGAATTATTATTGGTGATTAAAGAGATTTATTGCACCTCTTTTGAAATGTTTTTTTTAGTTATTTCAATATTCAATTATTGCACAATCGATTTTCTAGGGTAAATCAACTGAAAGATGAGGACACATTGAGAATCTATAGCCGAAAGCTTTCCTCACTTCACTAAAATTTAAAATGCAACGATTCAAAAGCCTTTCAGTCATCTGTCGATAAGCTATATAAGATCATGCTACTAGTCCCTCAAATATCCTTGCTGAAATTTCAAAAGATCAGAACTGCAGAAAGTAGTGTGCCACGAATCGAACTATGCAGGATGTATCCTCGGTCGATGCATTGTCAAAGAAATCCTTCTGACGTTCAGAGAAAAGAAGTCATAAATCTATACGTTACACACTATTATTACCTGAATGATTTGTTGCATAGTCGCCTCTTTTGAATAAAAGAAACGACAAACATTTAGTGCCTATGACAGGTTACGAACGGCTTTTTAACAATTTGAACCACACCTCTCTCTCTCTCTCCCTCTCTCTAATATTATAGTCTAATTTTCTTTATAATTGTTCACAAACATCAAAAGAGAAAAGAAAAACACAGTCAAAAAACAAATTAGCAGAACGAGTGTAGAATAAAATATAGGTGTTCTTCTCTTCGAATATGCGGCTTGTAAGATTGACAGATAAAATTCTAAGTTGAAAATTTTAGAAGAGATTATCGTGTGGGTATAAAAACACTAATGTACTAACGAGGGAACATATGTAACTGACCAATCGTTTTTTTAATGAAATCTAGTGGAGTATAGGTAAAAAATAGTGCTGAATCCGAATATCGGCATGAGACGGGCCGCTAGGTCTTGCGAGTATCGGATTTCTGGGAAACCAGATTTCCAGAGACAGAAACTTTTGTTCCAAAACTTTTTTCTGACCTGTCTCGATTGTAGAGCACATTGAGAAACCTATAAAAAACTAGTTTTGGGGCGTTTTAAAGTGTTTTTGCTCCCTCAAAAAACCTCAGCGTACGGAAAAGAGAAGAAAAGTCCGTCTGGCGGGCTGTGGAAGGGTTCCAAAATTCTGAAAACTAGTTTTTTATAGGTTTCTCGATGTGCTCTACAATCGAGACTGATCAGAAAAAGTTTTGAAACAAAAGTTTCTGTCTCTGGAAACCTGGTTTCCCAGAAATCCGATACTCGCAAGACCTAGCGGCCCGTCTCATGCCGATATTCGGATTCAGCACTATTTTTTACCTATACTCCACTAAATTTCATTAAAAAAACGATTGATCAGTTACATATGTTCCCTCGTAAGTCTACTATATTAGAATCAACAAATTGAAACAATGATGCCTTTTAAAGGAAATTGGTCTCTTCTGTGTTCGGAATCAGGATTTAGTAGGGAAAAGCGATCATCCAACTGAAAACGGCGTAATTAATGTTTATTAAGTACCCGTTAATAACTCAATCCAATGTTTGTTAAATGGATATTTTTAGATCATTGTCATCATTTTTTGAACGTTTTTAGACATTTAAATTAAGAATGTATTAACGCCTAAAAGTTGCAGTTTTATTATGATCAAATAATGGACATGATATTTGTTTTGAGAACATAATTGTAATTTGTCATTGTAATTTTGTTTTGAGGACATACTATTATGAGCCGTTGAACATCTATTTTTGGGGTAGTTTTCACAAGCAGCTTCTTTCTGACTATGATCTCACGACGGCTGAATTCGAAAGTTTCTAATATTTTGGGTCTTGGTCAATTTCAACCAATGTCAGTTTTCACTGGTGTGAGCAGAAGAAAAATGTTTCTACTCAAATAATCCAGTCTTAAAAAAACATCTTACAATAAGATATTTTTCTAAGAGTTAGAGTCGGGAAGGAGTCTATAATTCAAATGAGTAGAATCATAACAATACCTAAAAATGAAGTAAGTCTTAAAACCGAGTGGTATTTAGTAAACCAATAAAAGCATCACAACACGTCTGAACATTCTTTAAAGAAATGTCATGACCTTGTTTTTGTATGAAATTTCATTGTTTATATTATGCGAATAATTGACTATGGCCGTTGTAAACTGTAGCCGGCGCCAGTTTTGGCCGAACATTTTCTCTTATATGCTATATATTTCTAAATATTAGCTATGTATGTTGTGTTCACTCTTAAGTAAAGGATTGCTTTCAAAGAAAATTATATTGTTCTAATCTTTTATTGTTTATGAAAGACCGGCCGTTTGGAAAATTTTACATTTTTCAAATCTGTACATCATGCTGCTATTACATAATAGTAATAGGATTTCTCCACGATTCTTTTCAGGACTTATGCTACATGTTTGCTTTAGTTAATCACAGGGTTTTTTGCCATGATGCATCAGTATTAGAAATGTCTAGAAAAATTTTCGAAGACTTTTTCTGGACGAATAATCCTGTATATGTATAACGTCTTACACGAAGCCAAAGACTATCGTGATGATCACCCCATATGCTCTACTACAAATATTTGGTTGAAAAATAAATTTTCTGATCAAAATTCGAATGACTATGCAACAGACGGTGATGTCCGCTGTGAGGATGACGAATTACACTGGAAAGGAAATGTATCAGAAAAATTATTTATAACAAATCGAACTTTTAAGTGCTCATGATCAAGAGTAATTTTTAGGAGGAAATTCGGTTCATGTTCTTATGCCAGTTGAATCTCAGATATTAATATAAATGATAGTTCGGGCATTAACTATATGCTAGGCTACATGAATGAAGCTGTTCATTATATTCGTATAAAGCGACTTTCAAAAATCTTTCCACACGTCAGTCAACTTAAGACACGTTCTACCAGTCCAGCAAGAAAAGCTGTCAAGTGAAATTTTTTGATCTATATATTTTTTTTATTTCTGGATTCTATGATCAAAACTGGGGTTATGAAAAAATTTTAAGATCGTTTGGACTTGATTTCGCCGAGTTATAGAATTTATAAAATTAGGTGTATCGAAGATTTTCAAAAAAGCGCCCTCCGTGATTT